CTTCTTACGCTCTCAGGAGTTCGGCGGGGGTGCTGATCTGCGGGCTCCCTGCGACCTGCTGCCCGACTGCTTCGCCACACTGCTGTGATGCGATGCTGGCCTCATTGCTGCCGGTGCACAACGGAGAATCACTCTATCTTTTGCTCTCCTGGACCGCTCTCGGCGATGCCAGGCTGGTTCCCGTGACGTGGTCGCCTCGTCGGTCAGCTCCTGGGCCAGCTTCAGGGACAAGGCTGCGGGCGACGCACTAAGGCCCGACTTTCGGGTGAGGTGCTCGCAACATCTTGCGCCCCAAACACTTGAGCCGATCACTGGCCTTCGAGGAGGAGGAGGGATGTAGGCGAGAGGGGGAGGAGGAGGGAGGGAAGGGCGCCCACCGCACAAGCCAGGCTGGAGGCCGGGGAGGAGGAGGGCAGAGGCCCCGCCGCAAGACGGGAGGAAGGCCGAGGAGGGAGAAGAGGAGGGGAGGGGCGCCCGCTGCCCAGTGCAGGAGGGAGGTCAGGGAGGAAGGACGGGAGGGCGCCCGCGGCACAAGGCCGGAGGGCGGCAGGGTGGGGAAGGCACCTGCTGCCCAAGACAGGATGGCTGCAAGGAGGGGAAGGCACCTGCTGCAGAAGACAGAAGGGATGACACCACCTGCTACCACGGCCGGGTCATCTCGACGGCCCTATCGTTTCACCGTTCCCCCAGGATCCCTTCGTGAAAGTCAAGGGGCTTATAACAGACCTCATCGCCAAGCTCGAGGCGGAAGCGTCGGCGGCCGCTGATGAGAAGGCGTATTGCGATGACCAGATGGCCAAGTCCGAGGAGAAGAAGGGCGAGCTCGAGGAGGACATCTCCACGCTCACCGCGAAGATCGACAAGGCCCTGGCGACGTCCGCGTCCCTGAAGGCGGACGTGGCGGAGCTGCAGGGGGAACTGGCCGCGCTGGCCAAGCTGCAGTCGGAAATGGACAGCATCCGCAGCGAGCAAAACGCCGCGTACACCACGGCCAGGGCGGACCTCACCCTCGGGCTGAAGGGCGTCCGCGATGCGCTCTCCGTGCTGCGCGCGTACTATGGTGGCGCCGCCTCAATGCTGCAGGGCGGCGCGGGCGATTGGCAGCCTGCAAAGCCAGTCCTGCACTCGGCGGCCACGGGTGCCGGTAGCAGCATCGTTGGGATCCTAGAGGTCGTTGAGAGCGATTTCGCGAAGAATCTGGCGCAGGAGGAGTCCGAGGAGGCTGACGCGCAGGCCGAGTACGACAAGGCCACGCAGGAGAACAAGGTGACCAACACCATGAAGTCCCAGGATGTGGTGTACAAGACGAAGGAGTACAAGTCCCTCGACAAGAGCGTCGCGGACATGACGAGCGACCGTGCGGGCAAGGACTCGCAGCTCAAGGCCGTACTGGAGTACTACACTAAGGTTCCAGGGCTAAAGAAGGCATGTACATGAAATTTCAGAGGACCCCGCGGGCTTCTTGGATCGGCGGTGAATTCCCAATCCCCGCACCCCTGGGCGGCGCCTCCAGCGCCGATTCTGGCGCGCACCGCGCGCCGCGTAAAGGGGTACGGTATGTGTGCACGTGTGCGTGTGTGTGTGTGTGTGTGTGTGTGTGTGTGTGTGTGTGTGTGCGTGCATGCGTGCGTGCGTGCGTGCGTGCGTGCGTGTGTGTGTGTGTGTGTGTGTGTGTGTGTGTGCGTGTGTGTGTGTATGTATGTATGTATGTATGTATGTGTGTGTGTGTGTGCGTGTGTGTGTGTGATCCAGCGCCGACTAGAGAAGTCCGCACGGACCTCCGACAAGTCAGGCTTCTGCAGTGCTCGTCACGCCCCGGAGGTGAAGGACCGCTGCATCGCCAAGCCCGAGAGCTACGAGGAGCGCAAGGCTCGCCGCGAGGCCGAGATTGCCGGGCTCCGGCAGGCTCGGCGGCGCGCGCCAAGGGCTTCGGCACGAGGGGCGCGGCCTGCTGTCGAGCAGTGGCGAAGCGTCCTGGCTTGCCGCCTATAGGCCCACCAACAAATGTTCGAAGAACCTTTGTGGATGACGCGACATGTTCTAAGAGCACTTCCTGCTGAGGCTGTCGTGTTTTCACGCGTCGGGCTCATGTTCTAATAGCACGGGTTTTGTTGTTAGAATATTTTTGGGTTCTGAGAACATTTGGTGGTAGGCCTATAGAAATGCCGGCACGGTCGGCCCCTGCTCAATTTGAGAGTCTTAGAGGCCTTCCCCGCTTCGATGAAGTCTCCTGTGAGCGTGGGCCTCCTGAGAACCCCCGTGCCTCCCGAGAGCCCCCCCCCGCTTTCACAGAAGGGCCCCCCCCCTCGGCGCTAGCCTCTTGTGTCGGGTGCTGCTGTAAGCGCCACTGGCCCTAGGTGCTCCCAGGATCTCCAAGGAGGCCCCCCCGGCCTCTAGAGCTCCCTTCGCGAGACCCAGAGGGCCCAGGGCTCCAAACATGGAGCGACAAGATGGGGGCACCTTGGGCCAGGGACACCTTTAGCAACCCCCGATGGCGCGCGCCGCCCAAAGGCGCTGTCGATCCTGGAGTCGGAGACCTCGCTGGTGCAGCTGCGCGCCAGGCGGCGGGGCAGCAGGCACGCTTCCCTCAGGGCCGCGGTGCTCTGAGGGAGGGCCGCGGTGCCCCAAGCAGTGCTGGGCTCGCCGACGTCGTTTGTCGCCGACACAGACCCAGATTGCCACCGACGTGTGCACTCGGGACGTGTTGCTCGATTTCGGCCTCCTGGGCCCGTTGTCGGCACGGGGAACAATCAGACAAGGATTGCGGACGAAAGCAGCACCCCGGGGAAGGGGTCGGGGCCTTTGGGGCCCCCCGTTGCAAAAGTCCCGTCGTCGGATGCATGGTCCTTGTCGGCGATGCAGAGGGGGGCCCCTTCCTCCTCCTCCTCCTCCTCCTCCTCCTCCTCCTCCTCCTCCTCCTTGTCCTTGCGGGTGCCCTCTGGCGCTGGGCCGCGGGGGGGGTATGCCGTCTCAGAGGGTGTCCGCGAGGAAGCTGTAATTACACATGGCGCGACCGACCTGGGCGAGAGCCGGATGCACACTGCGGCCGGATGCGTTTGGAGCGCTCGTCCTTTCTATGCCCGTGCAGGTTGGGCTTCCGCATGCGGCGCGTGGCCTCAGGAAAGTCCGCATTTGAATCCGGCCGTGTGTATTTTCAGCTTCCTGAGAGTGTACATGGCCCGCCCGTCCTTCTCTTGTTCCTCCTCCTCCTCCTCGTCCTCCTCCTCGTCCTCCTCGTCCTCCTCCTCGTCGTCCTCTCCTCCTCCTCCTCCTCCTCCTCCTCCTCCTCCTTCTCCTCCTCCTCCTCCTCCTCCTCCTCCTCCTCCTTCTCCTCCTCCTCCTCCCCCTCTTCCTCCTCCTCCTCCTTCTCCTCTTCCTCCTCCTCCTCCTCCTTCTCCCCTCCCCCTACTCCCCCCCTCTCCCCCTCCTCCCCCTCTCCCCTCCCCCTTCTAGCCTTCCCCCAGGGGCGCGCGGAGCAAGTTGGCGAGGCGGCCCGCGGAAGTTGGACATAAGAGTTCATTTGCCCCGCTTGCGGGAGCCTCTGAGACAGCCTACTCGAGCGCCGCTTCCAGACACCCAAAGAGGTTCAGCCACGCGCAGAGGGGAATAAGGGGGAGGGGGGGAGGCTTCTTAGAAGCACCCTGCTTCTTAGAAGGCGCGGGCCTTGTCTATAGACGTAGGGCAAGCGCCTTCTAAGAAGCAGCCTCCCAAGAAGCGTTCCCCCCTCCCCCTACCCCCTTGTGCGCGCCGCCAAGGGGTCTGGGAGGGTTGGTCTTGGGGAGTCGCAGCCCCCGGATGGCGGCGCAGCCGAGGGCACCCCTGACAGATCGGCGCCTCTACACGCAGAGCCTGGCGCCTGCTGCCAGAACACGTCCCGGAACCCAGTACGGTTTGACAGAGGTATAAGATCGAGGTGGGTTCGGAGAGGGTACCCCGATGCTCTTCGCGTTTGTTGGACGCTCTTGTGCATCCTGGGGGAGGGTACCCTCGAATGTTCTTCAGCTTGGCCGGCGGGCGGATGGGCTCATGTTATTGAAGCATGTTCTTCTGTCCTCGGTCTGGCCGTACCTACTTCAACGTTCGGTTTCTCCTTCTCCCCTCTCCACCCTCGCGCGGCCGCTTTTTCTCATCGGCTGGCTTTCGTCGTTGTCCTCCCCTGTCGCTCTATCCGCAGAGCCTCATCACTCATCACTGCGCGGCGCACGAGTACCTTCGCGGCCCGCTCACGGTGAAATGAACCTGCGCCCTCGCATTGCCATCCCCTCGTCCTGCTTGCCTCCCCGTTCCAGCTTCGGGCTCCTTGGTGCGACCTCGCCGGCAGCCTGGGACGTCGGGATGTCCGCACGCAGTCCACTTCATGCTGCCGTTCAGTCCACGACCGTTTGCCCTCTTTCGCCTGCCGCAGACTTGCTTGTGCGGTCTCGCTTGGCAGGTGCCCCTCTGTTTCATGTCGTGGCGGTTGTCGTGCGCTGTGGTGTCGTTCGTTGATCGCCGCTCTTGATTCTTTGAATTGCGAGTGGATGGCTGGGCCTTGACGCATATGACGGTGTGGAGATGTGCCGTTCTGGCGGTTGGGGGCTGTCTTTCGCTGGACTCAGGACCAAGTCGTATCTCTCAGTACGGTTGGGGGCGTTCGTTCAGGAATGTGCCCAGGTGGCGTCGGACCCTGGAGGCGGCGGTGGTATCCATGGCCACTCCACGGATGGCAGTCCGATCCAACGGTTCCGCACCCAATGCCCTCGTCGTCCGTACAGCCGGGGCCCTGAAGAAGGAACCCTTTTCGTTGGGGAGGGGCTCGGTGTTCCTTGACTGTTCGACAGTTTGCCTTCTGTTTTCCGAAGGTTTTCCATGGGAAATCGACGTTCAACTTATGGGAGAAAGGGGCCCCGTTCCTTATTTAGGGTTCCTTCGGTCAACGCCCCGACTGTGGCCGTTTTGGCTCGAGGCCTGGCGCCCCGCCCGCTCGGCGCGCGGGACCACCGTGGTGGCGCGGGCGGCCGCCGCCGCCCCGCCCCGCGGCGCGTGCGGCAGCTGGAGCTGCATGGGGGCCGACACGGCGACTCCGCGGTGCTGCCGGAGCTCTCGGGCCTCCGCCAGCGCGCCCGCTGGCCCAGCGGCTCAGCGCGGGAGCGCGCCGCGGCCCCCGCGGAGCACGGGGCGATCCTGCACGCGCTCGGCGCTGAGGAGGTGGTCCAGCGGCGGGTCGCCGTGGCCCCCGCGCCCGCCGCGCTGCTGCAGGGGGTCCGCCCTTGTGCCCCTGGACAGGCTGCGCGGGGATGTGGCCCTCCACGCCGCGGCCGAGGGAACTGATGTGGCGCGCGCCGGCCCGCGTCAGCTGCGAGCGGCGCGGCGCGGTCCGCGCCTCGGCCCCAGTCTGGCCGGCCTGTGCAGCCATCGGGTGGTCCAGGCGGAGATCGGTCTCTGTGGCGCCGTGGCGCCGCCCAGGCTCCGTGTGCTCGGGTCGCTGGTCGTCGGCCCGACGGAGTGGAACGTGGAGACCCCCTGCTCCGCGCCTGCTTTCGCACTGCAGGCGGAAGAGGAATGCGCGAAGGGGCCCGACGTAAAGAAGAAGCTCTCGGTGGTCGATCCCGTGTGCGCGGAGCTCGCGCTTGGGCGGTGGCTTTCGCCAGACCCGCACCCGCAGGCTGCCGCCTTCGTGAACGTCCTGGAAGCGGGCTGGCGCCTGGCGGGGTTTGGAACCGCGACGGGCACGAAGGAAATGTACGGCACCGAGGACGTGTCCGTGGAGCAGCTGGAGCACGTGCGCGACGGGGTCGAGGACGTTTCAGCTGCTGCCGCTGATGCAGACGGGGATCCCCTCGGCGGAGCCGCCGTTGGCGAGGCCGACGTGAAGGAGCAGGAGACGGGGGGGGGATAGGCGTGCTGCCTCCCTCCTCCCTTCCTGCTGACGCTGCTTAGGCGAGGTGGTGTGGCGCGAGGGCCAGCATTGCCCGCTGCTGGCTCGAGTCCGGGGCCGAGGTCCACGGTGGGCAGGAGGTGGACGACGCTGACCAGCACGACATCGTCGAGCCGCGCTCCAGCGAGCAGTGCGAGTACGTGCAGGTCGTCTTGCAGGGGCAGTCGAGGGGCGTTCCGGAGCCTGCTGCCGACTGCTTGGCGAGGCTCGGACAGGACGCCGAATCGATCTTGCATCTCGCTCGGTACGGGGCGGCGGCGATCTCGGACGACATGAAGGCCAAGGGGCACGGGGCGCTCTTGGAACTACTGGAGTCCGAGGGCGAGGCGTTGAAACTGCTAGACGCGCTGGGTGTGCTTGGCGATGGCAGCTCAGCGGGCGTCGGGCCTGCAGAAGTCGACGGGGAGACCGCGCCGCGGGAGCTCGTCGAGGTGAAGGAGCTGGTGGATGCCATTGAGCCGCTGAGGCAGCGCTGCGTGAGCCGCAGGCTTGCGGCGTTGTGGCTGGCGCGGAAGCGCACTGGTCCTAGCTCCCGTGAGTTGTGCTGCGGGCTAGTGGGCGCAGCGTGCACGTTGCCCGCAGGAAGAATCCGCATGCACGCACGGGCCCCTCGAGAGTAACAACCAAACATGCCCTTGTCGTACCTCCTGGGGCGGGATGAATTCCAAGACCTCCGATGGACTCGATCACGGTGGGGCCGCTTTCACCTGGAGCTCTCTGCCCCTTCCCTGGGATTGTCTGTCTCAGCCTGGCGTCGGACCTGCGACACGAGAGGGTGCCGTCTCGCTGGGGTGACACCCTTGTGCCAAGCTGGGTACCCAGGCGCCTTCCAGCGCTCGCGACAGCGCCCGGAGCGGCTTTACTTTACTTTGGGGGGCGACCCCCCTCCCCAATCAGCAGCGCATCAGAAGGCCACCCTCGACAAATGTCACCACTGCGAGGAGCCGATCCAGGGCCCCTGGGGCCCTAGAAGGCAGCCCGCCGGTGGTACTCCAATTGCCTTGGCCGCTTGCCGGCAAGCTGGACACACATGACGCGCTGAACTGGACGAGGGCTGGTATCGCATCTGGCCGGATGCCTTTCCAGCGCTCGCCTTTTCTATGGTCTGGTGGTACAGCGGGCCTCCGCGTGTGTACCCAGCAGAGGGCCTTCGCAAGTTTCACATGTGGCTCTGGCTATGTGTGTGTCTCTTCAGCTTCCTGGTGGCGACCGACGACGACAACGACAACGACAACAACAACAACAACGACGACGACGACGATGACGACGACGACGACGACGACGACGACGACGACGACGACCGACCATGTTGGCGACGACGACGGCGGACGACCGACGACCGACGGCCGACGTCCGATGACCGACGGCCAACGGCCGACGACCGACGATGACGACCGACGGCGACGACGAGCGACGACGACCGACGACGGCGACGACTACGACGACGACGACGGACGACGACGGACGACCGACGACCGATGACCGACGGCCGACGGCGGAGGCCGACGATGTCGACTGACGACGACCGACGACGACGACGGACCGACCGACTGACCCACCGACCGTTCGACCGACCGACTAACCCACCGACCGACCGACTGGCCGATGGACCGACCGACCGATTGACCGACCGACAAACGACGACGACGACGACGACGACGACTGCCGACGACCGACGACCGACGACCGACGACCGATGACCGATGACCGACGACCGACGACGAATTCACCTCCATTCGCGACGAGTCTCTAGGCCCCCCCTGGGGCCTACTTCGGCTGACTTCTCAAGCTGCTCCCAGCCGATGGCGACGTCGCTTCGGTAATGAAGCACTGGAGCGTCTCTTTCTCCTCCTCCTCCTCTTCCTCTCTCCTCCCTCCTCCCTCCTCCCTGCTCCCCCCTCCCTGGAACGAGGAAGGGGGGCGTCGTCATCGGCGGCGGCAGAGGTGACGGCGACGTCATCTCCCTGCGGATGGCGCCGCTGGCTCGCTCTTCGACCAGAAGTCTGGCGTCGGCGGGAGGTGCGCGTGCCAGCGCCAGCGTCGCCTGCTGGCTTGGTGAGCGAGGCCCTTGTCGCCTCTGCCGCCGCCGCCGCTGTCGTTGTGCAGCTTCTCATTCCCTTCGTACTCATCACAATTCCAGGCCTCGTCACAACTCTTTTCGTCCTCCTCACAATTCCATGGTCTTCGTCCTCCCCACAATTCGGGCCAGAGCCGATGGGGTCGGATGATCGCGCCGCACCGCCGATGCATCGGCGACGGCGGGGTGAAGGAGATCGGGCTCGAGATCGTTGCAGTAGTGGAGGTGGAGGCGACGGGCGACGGCAGGGTGGAGGAGACTCATGTAACAGAATCGTATTCACTCCCCCAGGCCTTGCAGCATAAATGCTATGGTAGGATGGTGTTTGCGTCGCTTCTCTCGGTGCCATGCGACGAGTAGAGCCGACGATCGAGTTCATCCGAAGGATTTCGCAAGGATTTCGAGCCTTTTGGAAGCATTTTGGGAATCTCTGGAGGCCTCCTGGGCCTTCTTCAGGGTCCTTTTGGGGCCCTTTTGGCCAGCTGCGGGCCTTCTTGGGCCGTCCTGGGGCCTTCTTTGGCTGTCTTTGTGGGCCTGGACTGTCTTTGGACCCACTTTGGCCCTCCTTGTCTAGGGGGCCTTTGAGGGTCCTCGTGGGGCTCCCTTGGGATCTCTTTGGGACCCTGTGGGACCGATCTTGGGCCGTCTTGGAACTCTCTTGGGCCGTCTTGGATCCCTCTTGGGCCGTCTTGGGGCCCTCTTGGTGGCCTCTTGGGTCATCTTGGACGTTGTTCGGACCGAAGAAGCGAATCTGCTAAAAAATACGTTGCCCCAAGGGAAGGCTACGAATTGTGCCTCTTAGGGACCCTCTCTCTTGGGCTGTTTTGAGGGCCTCGCAGGCCGTCTACAAACCGTATTGGGCCAGTTTGAAGCGCTCTGTGGCAATGTTGGACCTACGGCGCCTTGGGGGCGTTTTGGGGCCAGCTTGGGGGCCTCTTGGGCCGGAGTGTGAAGGGGGTGTTTTCGGCCGTGGCGCTGGGGAGTACCGTCCAAAACGTTTTGGGGGGTGTCGGCCATCGGGTGGGGTTTTCCATGCGGGATGTGTAGTTTCAGGGATGTGGTTCCAGTTGCGTACGTTTGCACGTATGTATGTGTACATATAAACTGCGCGCGGCCCGCTTAGCCTTCGACCGGAAGAGGTGCGCTCTCGACCCGCGAATCAAAACATGTGTACATATCAACATACATATGTACGTGCAGATATCTGTACACACACACACATACACGTACATACGCACCCAGGGTCCAGGGGCCAGGGGCCCCAAGGGCCAACACCAAGGCCTCATGGGTGTGGCAGGGATCCTGGGCAACAAAATGGCTCCAACACGGCCTCTGAGAGCCCGAAGAACTCTCGGGACAGTCCAAAGAGGCCCCCCGAGAGGGGGAGAGGCAGAGAGAGGGGGAGGGCGAGAGAGAGGGTGTCATTCTTGTAGGCTTGGCCATCGCGACGGGGCGTGGTGTTTCGGAGGGTGACGAGCGAGCATCTGTTCAGAGCCCCGAATCATCAGGGGTAACTCGGGTCAGGGATAACTCGGGTTCGTTTTTCGGGAATCCAAACCCGAGTTACCCCGGACCCGAGTTACCCTGGATAACTCGGGCGTCCAGAGCCCCGAATCATCAGGGGTAACTCGGGTCAGGGCTAACTCGGGTTCCTTTTTCGGGAATCCAAACCCGACTTACCCCGGACCCGAGCTACCCCGGATAACTCGGGCGCCCAAATCTGTTGCTCTTTCCGCCGTACGTTCGCGTGCTTGCACGGAGCTCGTCTGGTCGAGCTGTGGGAGGGGCCCCGCCAGCCGCCGCAGCCCGCCGGGCCTCGCCGCAGGAAAGCGAGAGCGGCCACGGGGCGATCAGGGAGTGAGCCGCCCCACTGCCGGGCTCCGGTGGTGGAGCGGAGGAGGATCTGTTCGGGGGCGGAAAAGAGGGGGGTGATGACTAGGGGGGGGTGGATATCATGGCGCGGGCCATGATTTTTCCTCAGATCTCATGGCGCCCCTTCTTATTTCATTACGTCCCTGGCCCCCCCGCTGGGCCGCGCACATGCCGCCGGTCATGATTTGCACCCTCCCCTCTTTGACGCCCCCCTCTTTGCCGCTCCCGACAAACCTGGTGGTGAGAACACCCGGTGGTGAGTTTTGGGCGATTTGGGTAATGGTTTTCGAGCGCTGGCTGGCCCAGGAAACGCAAAACCTCGTGGCGACCGCGTGTCCCCAAACCCGGTGGTGACCCAGAATTATTTCTTTGGGGAAACGGGGTCACCACCGGGTGTCTCACCACCTGGTTTGGAGACCACCAAGATCTGTAGGGAGGGGTAGTGGTGCAGAGAGGGCGATGAAGGACGATGACGAGGAGCAGGATGATTGACGTCTTATCCTTCTCCTGCTCGCTCTCTTCTGGCTGGTTGCCCTTCCGTCCTGGTAGAGACGGGGAGGAGGAGGAGGAGGAGGAGGAGGAGGAGTAGGAGGCGGCGGAGCATGAGGATGAGATGAAGGAGAAGGACTATGAGCAGCAGGATAGGACCGCTGACAGGAGTAAAGCGAGGACGAGGATGAACATGATATGATGAGGCGGGGTAACTCGGCGAAGGAGTTGGAGGATGAGGAGGGGAAAGATGAGGATGCCGAGGAATAGCAGGCATAAGAAGAAAGTTGATGAGGCGGTCAACGAGGGGGGGTAAGGGGGGAGTAGGTGGAGGAGGAGGAGCATGAGAGTGCAGACGACGAGGATGACGAGATCGAGTAGTGGCAGGCAGACCAGGAGGCGGTTGAGGAGCAGGAGCAGAACTGCCAGAAGAGAAGCGCCGTTATACCCACCTGCGCCCAGAAAAGGGGCCGCTGGGGCTTTTATTCTGCGCTCTCCGTTTTTCCCCGTCGTTGCTCCGGGTGCTCGACCGCTTGTTGGGGGCCGCCGCGCGTCGGAGGTATAATCATCCTGATAGCTTTTCCAAGGCATGTGACTTCGGCATGTGGTTTTCGGAATTTGTTTGTGGTCGTTTGAAGTTGTTTGTTCGTTTGTGGCTGCTTTGTTCTTTTGGTGCCCGTAGTTATACACTTCGATGTGCGCGGATCAATATATATATATATATATATATATATATATGGTAGCCCCCCCCACATGATCATACATATTCGTCTTTACCGCGGCCGCCGATCGATATCTTCTTTCTCCGTTCCCTTCTCCTGTCTCTTCCTTTCTCTCCTCCTCCTCCTCCTCTTCCTCCTCCTCCTCCTCCCCGTGCTATTCCTTCTCGGAATCATCGAAATCGTCAGAAACTAAAGAAAGCCGGCAAAAAAACCCAAAAACAAAAAAAACAAAAAAAACCAACCAACACCAAAACAACAAAAACAAATGATTTCGGGAGAACTTCTGGGGAGGGGGCCGGCCAAAGTTCTCCAGAAATCATAGTTTTTTTTTTTTTTTTTTTTTTTTTTTTTTTTTTTTTTTTTTTTTTTTTTTGTTTTTTTGGTTTTCTGAAGGGTTTTCGCTGGCGTTCGGCCTCCACAGAAGGATTCCTATTGAAATCCTCTGCGAAAGGAGATTCCCATTGAGATCCTCTACGGCTCCTCACCCTCCTCCTTCTGCAACTCACCCTCCTCATCATGCTCGCTTCGAGGCGATACTCACAAATCTAGTTGCGAACGCAGCTTCACAACTAGTTTTGCGAGGAACCTCCCGCTACAAGACACTACTCGCAAAACTAATTGTGAACGGCGCTCCACAACTAGTTTTGTGAGTAATGAGTTCCTCCTCGTCATCGTCATGCTTCTCACTCTCCTCTTCTTCCTTCTCCTGCTCCTCCTGCTCCTCGTCATTCTGCCCCCTCGTCTCCGCTTCGAGGCGACACGCACAAATCTAGTTGTGAACGCAGCTTCACAACTAATTCTGCGAGGAACCTCCCGCTACGAGACACAACTCGCAAAACTAATTGTGAACGACGCTCCACAACTAGTTTTGTGAGTAATGAGTTCCGCCTCGTCGTCGTCATGCTGCTCACCCTCCTCTTCTTCCTTCTCCTGCTCCTCCTGCTCCTCTGCCCTCCTGCTCCTCCTAGTTGTGCAGCTGCGTTCACAACTAGATTTGTGAGTATCGCCTCGAAGCGGAGAGAAGGGGGCACAATGACGAGGAGCAGGAGGAGGAGCAGGAGGAGGAAGAAGAAGAGGGTGAGGAGCATGACGATGACGAGGAGAAACTCATTACTCACAAAACTAGTTGTGGAACGCCGTTCACAACTAGTTTTGCGAGTAGTGTCTTGTAGCGGGAGGTTCCTCGCACAACTAGTTGTGCAGCTGAGTTCCCAACTAGAGCTGTGAGTATCGCCTCGAAGCGGAGAGGAGGGGGCACAATGACGAGGAGCAGGAGGAGCAGGAGGAAGAAGAAGAGAAGGGCGAGGGGCATGACGATGCCCTCCTGCTCCTCCTGCTCCTCGTCAGCAGAACTAGTTGTCAACGGCGTTCCACAACTAGTTTTGTGAGTAATGAGTTCCTCCTCATCATCGTCATGCTCCGCACTCTCCTCTTCTTCCTCCTCCTGCTCCTCCTGCTCTTCTGCCCTCCTGCTCCTCCTGCTCGTCATTCTGCCCCCCCCCCTCTGCTCACCTTCCTCTTCTTCCTTCTCCTGCTCCTGCTCCTCCTGCTCCTCGTCATTGTGCCCCCTTCTCTCCGCTATGAGGCGATACGCACAAATCTAGTTGTGAACGCAAATGCACACGTACTCTTGCGAGGAACCTCCCGCTACGAATCACTACTCGCAGAACTAATTGTCAACGGCGCTCCACAACTAGTTTTGTGAGTAATGAGTTCCTCCTCGTCATCGTCGTGCTGCTCACCCTCCTCTTCTTCCTTCCCCTGCTCCTCCTGCTCCTCCTGCTCCTCGTCATTGTGCCCCCTTCTCTCCGCTTCGAGGCGATACTCACAAATCTAGTTGTGAACGCAGCTGCACAAGTAGTCTTGCGAGGAACCTCCCGCTACAAGACACTACTCGCAAAACTAATTGCGAACGACGCTCCACAACTAGTTTTGTAAGTAATGAGTTCCTCCTCGTCATCGTCGTGCTGCTCACCCTCCTCTTCTTCCTTCTCCTGATCCTCCTGCTCCTCGTCATTGTGCCCCCTCCTCTCCGCTTCGAGGCAATACTCACAACTCTAGCTGTGAACTCAGCTGCACAACTAGTTTTGCGAGGAACCTCCCGCTACAAGACACTACTCGCAAAACTAGTTGTGAACGGCGTTCAACAACTAGTTTTGTGAGTAATGAGTTCCTTCTCGTCATCGTCATGCTCCTCACCCTCCTCTTCTTCCTCCTCCTGCTCTTGCTCCCCCTGCTCCTCGTCATTGTGCCCCCTTCTCGCCGCTTCGAGGCGATACTCACAAATCTAGTGGTGAACGCAGCTGCACAACTAGTTTTGCGAGGAACCTCCCGCTACAACACAATTCGCCATATAATGATTCCTATTGAAATTATCAACAGAAGGATTCGCGTTGAAACCCTTCACAGAAGGAGACTTAGGTGGATGAGAAGGAAGAGAAGGAGGAATATGAGGCGGATGAGGAGGATCAGGAGGAGGAGGAGGGAGAGGGAGAAGAACCTCTATAAAACGATTCTTAATGATCAACTGCAACGCAGCCGATTGGATTGTAATGCGTTGCCAGCGATTGAAGCCGCAAGCGTTTGGATTGCAATCGACTGGGTTGCGTCTGACAACGTAGCAAAACATAAGCAAGAAACGCAGGAGGAGGAAGGGGGATGAACGACTGGAGGGATCAAGGGAGCATGTGTATGATCATGTGGGGGGGGGCGAGCATATATATATGTATGCATATACGTATGCATGTATGCATGCATGTATGCATATATGTATGCATGTACGTATAACTATACGCATGTATGTATGCATGTATGTGTATAGATATATGTAAATGTATATGTATTTGTATATGCATATGCATATGTATATGTTTATGTATATGTATATGTATATGTATGTATTTGTGTATGTATGTGTACACACATATGTATATTTATGCATATATAGATAGGTATATGTATTTGCATATGTTCATATATATGTGTACATGTATGTTTGTATGTTTGTTTGTTTGTATGTATGCATGTATGTATGCATATATGTATGTGTTTATGTATATATGTGGATATATGTATGCATGTCTGTATGCATGCGTGTATGTGTGTACGTATGTATATAAGTATGTATGTATGCGTGTATGTATTTATGTATGCACGAATGTATGTATGCATGCACGCATGTATGTGTGTATATATATGTATGTATGTACGTGCATGTTATGCATGTGTGTGTGACTGTCTGTAGGTGTGTATGTATTTATGTATGCATGTATGTTTGTACGTCCGTATGCTGGCATGCATGCATGCATGTATGTATGCATGTATGCATATATGTATGTATGTATGTATGTATGTCTGCATGCATGCAGGTGTATACATATTCATGTGTGTATATATATATATATACATGCACGCATGCATTTATGTATGGATGCATGTACGCACGCATGTATGCATGCATACATGCGTGCATGCATGCATGTGTGTAGGTCTGTATGCATGTATGCCTGTGTGTGTATGTATGTCTGTGTTTATGTATGTATGTATGTATGTATGCCTGTATGTATGTGTGTATGCACATATGCATGTATGTCTGTATTTATGTATGTATGTATGTATGTATGTATGTCTGTATGTCTGTATGTTTGTATGTCTGTATGTCTGCATGTCTGTATGTCTGTATGTCTTTACGGATGTATGTATGTATGTATGTATGCATGTATGCATGTAGGTCGGTGGGTAGGTAGGTAGGTATCCTTCTCTGTATATAACTATGCAT